GAGAGAGAGAAAGGCTGTGTATGTCAAGTGCATGTGTTAACGTGTGTGTGTGTGCGTGTGCGTGTGTGTGTGTAGAAGAGCTAAGCTGCCCATCCTAGATACACTCAGAGAGCTCCCTTGTGAAGGTTTAACCAAACAGAGAAAGAAAAAGAGAGAGGGAGGGAGGGGTGGGGGGAGGAGAGAGACAGAAGCTGTCTTTGAAACTGATGTGTCAGCCCTAGATTTTCCACCTGTGTAACCACGGGCAGTTTGGAAAAGGAGGTCATGACCTCCACTGCCCTATACCTCTGTCCATCAGCTCCAGAAACCAGAGGCTGCTTCCATCCTTTCTTGGTCAATAGCTCAGGGAAAGCATAGAGTAAAATCTCAGTCCAACCGCGCTATCTACATTTGACCTCAGGTACACCCTCGGGGTTCTCCGGCCAGACAGCAATGTTTTCACCTCAGTGCTCCTTCACCCCGAGATCAGAAAAGAAACCCGAGACCCAGGGCAAACGCCCGAGGACTTACTCGGGTGAGGCCTTCCTGCCAGCATCCACCGGGGGTCATAGGGAGCTCTCGAAGGCTGGAATTCAATTTCTCTGTCAATGGGGTCGGTGGGTGTGATGATAGGGACCATGCTGTGATTATCCTAGAAAAGAAAGCCAGGTCTTTGACTCAGTCTCCTGGGCTTGTCAACAACGCCCCACCCGTCTCCTCTGGCTATGACTCCGCCTGGTTGTGCTGTGGAAGCCCACCCCAGATTAGCTACTTCACTTAATCATCAGGATAACACCCTGGGGTAGGATAACACCCATTTCACAGATGAGGGGACTGAGGGCCAGTTATTGCAAAGTCTCCCTGATACTAAGGAAGAAACCAGGTGGGCTGCATAGCTTGAGAATTCTCTATTGTCCAATGTTACCTCTTTTTTTCCCTCCCACCCCCCGACCCCCTCTTCTTTGGCAAACATCAGTTTGCTCTCTGCATCTACGAGTCTGTTTCTATTTTGTTTTGTTCTTCTAGATTCCATATATAAGTGAAATCACCCGGTAGGTAGTTGTCTTTCTCTGTGTGACTTATCTCACTTAGCATAAATACCCTCAAGGTCTATCCATGTTGTCGCAAAAGGCAAGATTTCCTTTTTTTATGGCCGAGTAATATTCCATAGTGTGTGTGTGTGTGTGTGTGTGTGTGTGTGTGTGTGTGTGAATGTGTGTGTGTGCGCGTGCGCACCACCTTCTTTATCCATTTATCTATTGATGGACACCTAGGTTGCTTCAGTATCTTGGCTATTACTAGTAATGCTGCAGTGAACATAGGGGTGTATATATCTTTTTTAATTAATTTTTTGTTTCCTTCAGATAAATATCCAGAAGTGGAATTGCTAGATGGCAGTTCCATTTTTAATTTTTTGAGGTACCTCCATACTGTTTTCCATAGTGACTACACCAATCTGCAGTCCCACCAACAGTGCATGAGGGTTCCCTTCTCTCCACAGCCTCGTCAGCACTTGTTGTTTGTTGATTTATTGATGATAGCCATTCTGACAGGAGTGAGGTGGTTTCTCATTGTGGTTTTAATTTGTATTTCCCTGATAATTAGTGATGTTGAGCATGTTTTCATGTCTATTGGCCATCTGTATGTCCTCTTTGGAGAAATGTCTACTTAGCTCCTCTGCCCATTTTTTAATTGGGTTGTTCGTTTTTTTTGGTTTTAAGTTGTATAAGTTCCTTATTTTTTTTATATTAACCCTTTATCAGGTGTATCATTTGCTACAGTGTTACCTCTTTTGAGAAGAGGTGATGCCACCCCTTCCTAAAGGATCAACAGACAGGATCCTTATGGTAGCATTTAAAAAGAAATCCAAGCACAGCGAGTACAGGGCTGGGTGTCAGAGACGGAAGGAGGGAGGGGTAAAAATTAATTCACCCAGCCACATCTGCAGCACGCCCTGCCCCCCACCGCCCCACACCACCCAGAAAATGAACTTGATAATAGTCTTCCAGGCCCTAAGCTGAGGAAGAGAGGGGAATACTACACCTTTGGCATATAGGACAGCCACTCCAGGATGGTATAAACGCCCTCGAAGTCATCCGGCACAGTGATGTGGGATACGCCATTGTTATGCATGATCTGCACACCGCCCAGCTGGTTGTTGGATGTATAAACCTCTCTGCCCAGGACCTGCGTGGACACGGCATGGTTAGCAAGTCCTGCCCGCCTGGGAGCCCTTCTACCTGTCTGGAAGTCACCTCCCTCGGTGGTCCGCAACCTCGGCTGCGCCTTAGCACCACCTGGGAGCTTTCAAAAATCTGCATGCCGGGCCGGCC